GCATCCGTTTTTAGTTTCAATACATATGGTCTTCCACATATTTATGTTTATTATTTATTTGTGGTTTATTATGTGTGCTTGTATATATGTGTTGTCATTCTTTTGTTTGTTTTGTAGTGACATTCTGACACCTGTTGCATTTCCATCATCGAGGCATTGTCCTGCAGCTTATCCTGTAAGAAATTTTGCCACCATGACAGACTGTTGACATTTCTCTCGACCATAAGCCAAATATTCTGCCTTTGTTGACATTTCTCTTTCATTGTTTAGATGCCCTGTCTCTGTTGTTGTTCTTCTTCTTCTTCAGCATTCCGAGCCATTGAGGTTCATTGCTGCAGATATCACCCACCTCCATTCATCTCTCTGGTTGGCTTCCTCTTTCCAATTGGTGAAACCAAGTGTTTGCAGGTCTGTCTGGACATTATCTCTCCATCATCTTGGTCTGCCTCATGGTCTACGACCATTAATCTCCCTTGTGTATACAATTTTTACTTTTCTGTCCTGTGACATTCTTTCAGTATACCCCAGCCATTTCAGTTTATTAGCCATCATGATACCGATGATCAGTGGTGATTTAAACAGATTATGAATTGTATTATTGCTTCTCACTCTCCAATCCCCCCTGTTTGCATCTTTGATGGGCCAAAGACTCGTCGGGAGACTCTGTTTTTGAAAACCTGTAATAAGGCTTTATCTCTTTTAGTTGTGCTCTGAAAATTTCAGTAGCCAACAAACATTTTTTACACTGGTTACTAAAAAACGTGTAAATATTCATTTCATCTTTTTAGAACCGTTAGTTGAAATATATATCAGTTCTGTGAGTGATACATAAGTTTGAATTATGCTACCAAGTCATTAAATGGACCTTTACTACAGGGTCCAAAAAGAACATGCACAGGTGACTCATGCTGTGACTGTGTGACCTGTATCACTAAGGCTTATGAGAATATCCTACATCAACTTGGCTTTAAAAAAGTCATTTAGCTCACAAGAAATCCCTCTCCCCACCCTAAAAAAATTGTTAGCTAATGTATTTATATCATTACCTCCTAAATTCCCTGTGCGGGTTCCGGTGCCCTATTATGGGGGGGGGGGGGGGGAATAGACCCACTGCCTAACAAAAAGCATGTCGTAAGAGCTTCCTTTGAAGTCGGAGTGCATCTGCCTGAGAAGCAAGGAACCAACAGTCTGCATACAAATGAGTCAGATCTGTCAAACAAATGTACAGGCAACATTCAGATTCTGGAATCGGACTGCAGTCCAAAAGTGGATGAACAACCAGAACTTTCCACCAGAGTTTACAGCTGGTGAATGCGAAGAAGAAGATGACCTTCTAATTGTAAGTGCAGGCACAGACACTGCCAATAGCCTTAACTATATATCTTGTAGCTATAAGCAAGTCAGAAAATTGACATTTATGGAGAATTGGATCCAGCTGGAAATGTCGATTCAGGTTCTCGGGGCAACATAGGAGGTGGTTTTGTCGTCTGACGGGAATCCCCCAAGTAAAAACTTTCACACTGAAGAAATATAATGAACACAGAGCAAGAAGACCACAAGAGGCATTAAGAACAACTTGGACAAACGAAGATACAGTGCATTAAAAAGAGTACTCAGACTATCCTTACTCTTTACAGAAGTAAATGGAGAAAGAGAAGAAAACAAGAAAAAGATCTTGAATCCACCTTCCTTGGGGTTTTGCCCCTCCTCTGCTTCTTTGCAATGTCTCCATGATTATCCTCCCCAAGCCCCCATGTATGTTAATCTGCAGCAAGAAGATGCTATAGTGTTTTCTGTGGCTTTAAAAAAAATATAAGGAACTATTTATCTGTAGCTTTTGACAATGATATATGGCTTTTGAAAAAAAAAAAAAAAAAAGATGATTATGCTGTACAGCTTTTGAAAACATAATTTTGTTCTAAAACTTCTGAAAATAATTATGTTCTACATCTTTAAAGACAAAAATTATCGACTTGTAGCTTTTAGAATAATAATTATAATTGTTTCTTTTGAAAATAATTATGTTCTGCAGCTCATGGGAAAAAAAATGTTCTATAGCCTTTATGGAAAATAATTTTGTTCTATGGCTTTTTAAAACGCTAGGCACTCACCTGCGAATCCGAAGGTGGTTGGTTTGAATCCAAACGGTGCTGGACTTTTTCTCTCCAAAAATGACTTTGGCTGCCAGGTTGACCAGCTTTAAATGTTGCCAGGTAAAACTTCTGGTAAGAAAGTCAGCTGGCGTAATGTTGACCATATCCCCCACCAAGAGCTGACTGGTCTATAAAATATAGGTCTAGCCCTATATGCCCAGTACACATGAAGGTGTGGGAAAAAAGTCTTTTTTTTTATGGCTTTTGGAGGGTAGTAAATTGTGTTCTATGGCTTTTGGGGGGAAAAAGGAATATTTGTATTTTTCATCGATGTTAAAGTGTGTGTCAGTTATCACCTTCTTCTTCTGCCTTCTGAGTCCCTGAGGTTCATTGCTGCAGATATCAGCCTCCACTCATCTCTCTGGTTGGCTTCTCTTTCCAGTTGGTGACACCAGATGTTTGCAGGTCTGTCTGGATATCTCTCTATCGTCTCTTGGTTTGCCTTGTGGTCTACGACCATCAGTTCCTTTGTGTGTGTTTTTACCTCTCTGTCATCTGACATTCTCTCAATATGCCATCTCTAGTTCGTTTTCTCCAATGATGTCAATGTTCTCTGCATAACTAAGCTTTCATGTGTCAGTTACACTAGCCTCTGCTTGTACTGTTGTCTCATGTTGTCCTAGGGCCCGTTTGAGAGGAGACAGTGTGTTGCAGAATATGTTTATGAGGTTAGGTACACAGGCATTCACAGGCAGATAGACTGGCTGGTGCGGCACCACTGGGTGATGAACTGAATGAACAAACAAAGAAACTTTTTTTTTCAAAAGGCTGAGAATTGGGCACACAGGCCTGTCTAATGTGATAAAGATATATTTCTGTTGTTACTCAAGAATTGTATATGCAGTAATCCAGTAATGGATTTGGGGACATCCTAAGCCGGATTGAGCTCATAAACATATTCTGGATTGAGCCATATTTTTTTTTTTTTTTTTAAAGTGGCCTTGGCTCCCAGGTTCGAACCAGCCTTGAGTGGGTACCACGTGCAGTCCTGGGAAGTAAAGCCGGCTGGCGTGATGCTGACCACATCACCCACCATGTGCCAATTGATCTAAATAAAAATGTCTAGCCCTATATACCCAACACTCCTAAAGGCGTGGAAAAGGTTCCCTTACTTTTACTAAGCTTGATTGATACAAAGCCGTGAAGCACCCAGTTTAAAAATCTCACTAGATCTCACATCACTTAAAAACGTATAACATCATGACTTTTATTATTTAATAGCAAAACATTTAAACTGAAAAACACAATGTTAAAAAAATTGTATTTATTAATTACATTAAAAAATAATTTAATTGCTTTCATCTATATAATAGATTACAATATAGCATACAAACTGTAAGTAATACTTAAATAAACCTGAAGAAGTAATTTTAGCTTACAACATGCCGCTCGCCCCCAGCCCCCCCCCCCCCCCCCCCCCCCCAACAAAAAAACAATATAATCAGGATTACTTTTAGGGTTGCCGAGTGAATCAGTGGCAGTAAATTTGTAACAGGAATGCCAGACCACGGAGGAAAGCCATCACAAGAATTTATAAATTATATTAAGCCCCTAATGATTGTGATACCCAAGCCAGCGTTTTCCAAATGGCGGCCTGGGGCCAAATCTGTCATGAGGAGGCCTAGCAAGTGGCCCGCGAATCGCTGCCAGTTGTTTTGTATTAATGATCTTCCTATACTGGGGCTTGTGCCTCTGACCCGCGTTGATGATAATTTGTTCAAAATTTTGGCCATTGTGTAAACTTAGTTGGAATAGCCCTTCCCCAAGCCGTAGTTTATTTTAGCATAGGCCTAAATCTGGGTCGACCCAGGCTGAGCGGGGGTACCAGGAAATGTCATGGAAAGTCAAGGCAGCTGGTGTGATATTAACCAGAATGCCAACTGAGTGCTGACTGATCTATAATGGCATCATTGCCCAATGTACTTACCCACCTAGGACTGCAGGTTGTACCAGCCTGGTAAAGCTGTTTCTTCTTCTCAAAGTCGTGTGGCGTTGGTAGTCATGTCTGTCGACAACCTTCTGTCTCATATACTTTCAGTCAACTCTGACACAGATGATCTTCCATGCCATTATGTCAAACTGCTCAGCATCTGTTGTCTCTGTCTCCCACTGCCTCTCCTCCCCTCCAACTTTCCTACCGTCACGATGTACTCCAGTTTTCTCCTTCTCATCACATGACCAAAGAATGTAGATTGTCTCTTTCTGATGTGGGCAATCAGTTCTCTTTGTGAGTCAGATTCTTTCAAGACGTCTTCATTATTCTTTTTATCTGTCCAGGGTGTTCTCACCATTCGTCTGTACAACCACATCTCCGCAGCTTCCAAACAAGAATCACTAATTTACTAACTGTCCATGATTCACATCCATATATCAGTATAGGATTTACATAGCTTTTAAGCATGGCCATTACAGGTGCCCTAATGAACCTCTGTGGAGGTTGAACCTGAGGTCTGCCTTCCTGAGATTTGTTTTAAAGTCTCTGGATGGTGTGGTAGTCCTTTAGATGGCAGCCCTCCCTGTGTATATGTTGTAGGAGTCGACTAATTGCGGGCTTCCTTTGAAGTCGGAGTACATCTGCCTAAGAGGTAAGGAATAACCAGCTTCACATAAATAGGCCAGTAAAACAGATGTGCACGCAAAACTCAGGCCCTGGCACAAAGCCAAAGTCAAAATGGACGAACAATCAGGACTTTCCGCCGAGCTTACAGCTGGTGTCCAAAGAAGTAGAAGCAGGTAGCAGCCCGGAGATGACAAACTAGTTGATTGATCATTGCTCTATGCGCAACTGGTATAGGACGAGTCATTCATTACTTTACTTAATCCAACCTAGCCTTTTTTGAATGGACATCACTTTGCCCATGTGCCCAACTTGTGTCGACTTCCTTGACCTTTGACAACCTTGAGAACCTGTTCTTGTTTAAATGCATTCCACTTTCTTCTCTGTTCTTGTTGAAGGTACTCATTCTGAATGTCTTCCTGGGTAAGAAAAGGACAAGTCAGTTTATATAAGCGGTAAAAAAAACATAACTTTCTTCTTTTTCTGCCTCTTATCACCAAGTGGAGCATAGGCCCTCAACCAACTCACACAAAGTGGTTCTCTCCCTTGCTAGTTCATTCCACATTCTGTCCATATTTTGACTTCATTTTTTTTTTCGGAAAAGGGGCTTGGGTGAGGGGGGGGGGGGGGGCTGCTTTTTTTCACTCCTCAATCCAGTTGGTTTTGATGCAAGAACGTTCTAGCTACTGTATATTATGTATTTTTTTATTTCTTCAAACTTTAGGAAACAAAATCCCACTTTTTGGCAATGCATTTGAGAAATCTGCCTTTATTCAGTGGCCAATTTTTGCTGTATAATTAGCCTTTTTAACATTACATCAGTGTTGATGTTCCATTGCGTTTGGTTCTTGACTCTGAATATTAACCATCTAGTAGTGTGTTATCTAACTCTATGATTTCACAACATAGTAAAGAAATCTGGCCATTTCCACTCTTTGAAATTAATGCCGAAAAAAATTTTTCACAGAGACCTGTTTTTCAAGGCAAATCCTAACCATCACATTATGTGTTCTCTAACTTTTTAAATTTGGTCACACCATAGCAAGAAATCTGCATTACTCATTTCTGCCATGTATTTAGCCTGTGTTTATTGTCTTCTCTGGCCACTCCAAATATTTTAGGACTGAAAATGTTGATGGCTTTGATTAAGCTTCTTGAATTCTGAAAATCTGTGGCCTTCTGTATACACAGGGTAATGTGAAATCTAATGCGTAAACTGAACTTTTCTTTCACAAAACAAAAACAAACAAGCATCTTCTCTGGTCATATAATAAATTCATTTTGTTCTTCAGAAAAGCTGGTTGCATATCCGCCACGGGATGTTAAAAAACCAGACCCAGCTTTATTTACCTGTTTGGTTTTACTCAGGAGTTTTATATTCACTAGTTTGCCATTGCTTTCTGAATGATCACGTCTCAATCTTCTTCTTCTTCTGCCTTTCTAGCCCCAATGGAGCATAGGCCCTCAACCAACTCACGCCAAGTCGTTCTTTCTTTTGCTATCGCATGCAGCTCTCCCCATGTCCTCCCCATCTTTAACTTCATTCTACAGTTCTCTTCTCCATGTGCTATTGGTGTCTCAATACCAGTATCAAAATCCATTCAAAGCAGTCCTCTGCCAAATCATCCACAGCTGGCATGGAACTAGGTAACCCAGAATTATGAAGCGCCTTAGCAATGCCTATAATATTAAAATAATATATTATATTATTTTTTTAAAAACTAGAACTATGAATGACTATAAGATACCAAAGATTCCCTGTGTGGGGCCTGGGGAAAGTTTGGGTTGTTTGTCCACTTCTGGACTTTGGTCGTGTTCCAGAACCTGAATTTCGTGTCCACATCCATTTTACAGATCTATGCAGACTGTTGGTTCCTTGCTTCTCAGGTAGATGTACTCCGACTTTGAAGTAAATCCTCTAATTAGTCGACTCTTACGACATGGTGGTTAACGAGGCTGTGGTTCTATTCTTTTCTACCCCCTTACAATGGGGTCCCGGGACTCACACGTGAATCAGTTGCATGGATTCAGAATACCAATAACCGAAATCTGTGGACAGCGCCTAAACAGCCTGGCAGGGCACATGATAGTGATGACGATGACGCTTCAAATGTTACCATTGTGAGATGTTCCATGTTTCTGCTGCTTGACTGCACCATCAGCTGTCTTGTCACTTCATCCAGACCTGAACAAGAACATTCCAATATCCGTACAAACATTTCTGTACTCACAAATGGGAGTGGTTAGTAATACTTTAGTTTTAGCAACCTGGAACAAGGACGGCTAGTATCACAACTATTATTTTATACACTCGATGAAAATGCTTAGAAAAATCCAAGCTGGATTAATCAGGCAAGAATGGATTGAAACACTAAGCACTTCACAAATATCTGCCCTAACCTTCATCTTTGTGCCAGGTCATGTGGGTGTTCAAGGGAACGAGCATGCAGACTATCTTGCTGACACTGCGGTTGCTATGGCTGGCCCAGTACTGGACAGAAGTGATGTTATCAATGCCAAAGGACATGACTCTGTATCCCTGTCTAGACTGATAGATATGGGGGTGCAGCTTGGAGCTGCAAGAAATGAATATTTCACTAAGGGGACAAGACGTTTCATTAACCAACTGTCGTGAAATGATAGCCATTAAGCATCGGTCTGTAAGGCTGATAACCTGTCTTACATGTAATCTGCACAAAATTCAAACTTGGACTCGCCCAGAAATATATAGTCCCTTATATCTATATATATAGGCCTTTATTGGACAACATTATTATGTCTACCTTTTCTGGTTACTTTAACTAAACTCCACTTTTAAATGTATATATCTTCGATATATATGAAGGGAGTTATTTGAGGTTTCGTGGAAACCGATTTACTCCTTGCTCATGTATACTAGGGACTTCTTTTTGCACCAACGCCTGAAGTGTCTAAGTGACGCGATTCTCTCTTGCCGGCTTCTAGCGTCCAGACGTGTCAATCTATGCCTGTATTATTTCATCTTTCTAGGCGATCTGGAATGTCTCAGTTTTTACATATGCTTGGGATGTATCTTTTGTGAGGAGCTGGCAGAAGTTTCACAGTCCACCCAACACCCATCAACAAACCAAACAACCCTAAACTAACTGTACCCACCAGCTAACACCTGTGAAGGTTCCTGACATCTCCAACATGTGGGAGATGGTACCTCAAACATCCTACCAGTGCTAGAGCTTAGGGTAGCTCAAAAACAATATATAGTCTACTTGGTGATAGAGACTTGCTAAGTACCAATGCAGTATTGTGTCCTCTATGGTGAGGTACTCTCTGACTATTTGATCTAGTGGAGCAGAATTTTAAGAATCAAAGACAGTCGAATCATCCGGAGCTGAAGGAGGCATCATAGACAGAAAGGATAGAAGCTAAGTCTGATGCTTCATGTGCTGTTGTTTTCCTCACAGCTCAATTGTTTCCAATGATGACATATAGTCACCTCCAAGACCGGCTGTCTGTATAGTTTCCTTGGGATCTAGACATTAGTGCTGAGATTCTTTCACTGATAGCTGGAATTCACTTCAATTTTTTATGTACAGATATTATACTAAATACATGCATTCATTTTCATGGCTGACTTAGGTTTCTCTATGTCACCTTCTTAAGTGTTTAGCAGTTGTATGTGTATGTATCTTCATTATATGTGTTAACATGGTTATGATAATGAACTATCATAACCTGGGGGCTTTCTTTAGTAAGTAGTGGGGGTGTCCAGCCAAAAATGCCTAGAAATATTGTATTTATATACTGATATATTTTGTAGTGCCAATACTTGAGTTGCCCTATTCCAGAGATAAGTTGAGCGTATATTGGCCACGGGGAATCCCTTAGACCAATACGAGCCAAACGACTCAACATAATTATCTCTGAGTGCTGTTGGTTCTGAAGGAGGAATCCTTACATTAGGCACGCGACAGGAGTGATATGTGACAGAACAACATATCCCCAAAAATCTTGACACCAACACAGAACAGGCGTCATCAGTCATTTTACACTTGTGGAACTTTTGAGGAGGAGATTGGAGCCCCTATGGATCTGTCCGGAGTGCTGTGATGATAATCCTTTCTAATCACTAATCACTATGTTACAGACGAGGGTTGTGAACAGTTTGTAACAGAAGTCAAGCCGATTTGAAACTCCCTAGTCCTCTCACACACTTGCTGGACTGGCAGGCATTCATCACCATACTGAACCTTCATTTGCCAGTAAATTTCTATAGGTTTCACCCCCTTCACTAATTAAAATAAACAAAAAAGAACAGAACACTGCTCCTCTTTGGTGCATGTCAAAAGTGGGGTATCCATCTTTAAATTGTCATTGTGACATCACCTGATGTCACATGCTTAACACACTTAACATCCTTACCAACAGTATTAACAGGTTACATTCAGTGACTTGGTTTTTGTAAGAACGGACCCACTGCCTCCCTAACAAGCATGTAAATGTTGACCAAATAGGGGTGTTTTCTTCAAAGATGGAGTACACCTGCCTGAGAGGCAAGGAACCAACAGTCTACTTTCAAATAAGTAAGATCTGTAAAATGGATGTGCATGTACAACTCAGGTTCTGGATCAATACCAAAGTCCAGGAGTGGATGAACAACCAGAAGTTTCTGCCAAAGTTTACAGCAGGTGAACATTAAGAAGAAGAAGATGAAAAAAATTACAAATAACTCAACGGTTATGATTTCTGTCACAAATATTAGTTTACCAATCATAACTTCAAATGCAGCTCATATACACCTACCTATACCATATAGCGATGATGAGACAACTGTTGATGTCTACTGCAAGCTTTGCTTTTCTTCTATTCCAAAATGGGACACAATGCTTTTATTTTTTTAAATCCCCACCCTGGCTGTTGTCAGTGGCCCTAATATAACCAACAGGTTGAATGGGTTTTCTAGAACCTGTCCCCAGGTGGTCTTTATCTGAATGGTTACACTTTGTGTCACCGGGTCTTTATTGCTCGGTGTGATGTCCTGGTAGGGGCTGAACGTCAGTCAGCAAGCTCTGCAAAAGATGCTGCAGTCCATGTCTGGAAGGCAAGCGAGTCAGAGGTAGACAGCAATACAAGCAAATGGATAGTACTAAGAGATGGACAAAAAGCACCTGACTTACTGATTAACTGATGGGTAGACTGAATGACTGATTGATTTACTGATTGATGTACTGGCTAAATGATTTACTGATTGATTGACTCTACTGATTGTTTCACTTATCTATAGAGCAGTTGATTTACTGACCAACTGATTTACTGATTTATTAACTAATTGATTTACTGGTTGACTGACTGAATGATCTTTTGAAAAAATGATTTACTGGATGATTTACAGATTTACTGATCAATTAATTTACTGATCAGTTAATTTACTGATTTTTGATTTATGGAATGATTGACTAATTGATTTACTGAATGGTTTGTTAATTTACTGACTGATTTAAAGACTTATTGATTTAGGGATAAATAAATTTACTTATCAATTTATGATTCATTGATGATAAATGTACTGACTCATGCACTGACTGATTATTGAATTGATTGACCGGGTAATTAATTGATATAATGACTGTTTGATTTACTGATTGGTTTACTGATCAGTTGATTTACTGACTGACTGACTTATTTATTTACTGATTGGTTTACTAGTTAATTGACTACTGATTAATATACTTCCTGGTTAATTTATTTGCTTATAGTTGGATTGATTTCCTGATCAAGTGATGGATTGACTGAGTGCCAGATTGATTTACTGACCAACTGATTGATGTACTTATCAATTATTTATTTATTTATGTATTTATCAATCTACTTGTAAATGTTTTATTGACCGGCTAATTGATTTACTGACTGATTGATTGACTGATTTAAAGGTTGACTGACTGATTTACCAATTAATTTATTTAATTTTCATTAGGCTGATGTACTGATCCATTGATTTATGGCTGCCTGGCTGATTTATTCAATTATTTTACTGACCCACTAATTCAATAATCATCAGTATACTGGCTGATTTATTGATTGACTGACTGATAGATTAATTTACTGATGGACTGATTCACTGATTCATTTATGTATTTATTTATTAAGGGATTGATTTGTTAATTGATCAGAACTGACTGATTGATGATTCACTGATTCATTTACTTACTGACTCATGAATTTGATAATTTATTGATTTACTGCTCAGTGCATTAACTGAATTGATGACTGTTATATTTACTGATTGACTTATTTATTGACTGGCTGATTTATTTAATGACTGATGGATTGATTTACTTACTCATAAGTTTATTGACAATAAATTTACTGACCAATTTACTGACTTACTTACTGATTGGCTAACTGAATTACTTATTTGTTGGCTGGTCAATTGAATGACCACTTGATTAACTTATGATTGACTTGACTGATTGACTTGTTATATGGTTGACTGACTGACTTTTTTTTCGATGAGCTGATTTACTGGCAAATTGACTGACTTATTGCTCAACTGACTGAATTATTAACCACTTGATTCATTCACTGATGATTTGTGGATTCACTGATTTACTGTTTGGTGTATAGACTGAATGACTTATCAGTTTACAGGCTGATATTGACTGATTGATTGGTTGACCAATTTACTGATTTATTTACTGATAGAGTGACTGATTGATCGATTGATTGACCAATTGGGTTTTTTTTTTTTTTTTTGGGGGGGGGGGGGGGGTGGGGGGGGGGGGGGGGGGGGGGAGGGGGGGGGGGGGGGGGTGCTGATTTATTTACTTTTTGTTTGGCTGACTTACTGATTTATTGATTCATATATTTACTTGTCCTTTGTTTATTGACTGACTTATTGATTGATTGATTGATCTTCATATTGATTTACTGATTGACTGATGAACATTTGACTGCAGACCATGCAGAGGGAGGGGTGGCCGATAAAGAATAATTTCAAATGAACATGGGGAACCCAAAAAAATCATAACTGATTAAAACATTTGTTGTTTATCATGATTTCAATTACAAACATCAGTTTATCAGCTCTGATTAATGTCACGGGGTTTGTTTTTCAATAATGGCTTCAGCATCTGCTAATTCGTTACAGGACTTACTTTTAGCTTTCTCAGGCCGAATGATGCCAAGTCTGTCACAGGACTTACCTTTAGCTTTCTCAGGCTGAATGATGCCAAGTCTGTCACAGGAATTATCTTTAGCTTTCTCAGGCTGAATAATGCCAAGTCTGTCACAGGAATTACCTTTAGCTTTCTCAGGCTGAATGATGCCAAGTCTGTCACAGGACTTACCTTTAGCTTTCTCAGGCTGAATGATGCCAAGTCTGTCACAGGACTTACCTTTAGCTTTCTCAGGCTGAATGATGCCAAGTCTGTCAGTCACAGGACTTACCTTTAGCTTTCTCAGGCTGAATGATGCCAAGTCTGACATGAGTGGTTGTTACAATAGAGCAGCTCACAGACTCATCCAAAAGGCAACTTATTTCTGCAAATGAATCATGCTGGCCAAGTTCTCCCATCACTACCTGTTTCTCCTGTAACATATATATAAATTGTCATTATAACAATTCTCTTGTAACATATATATAAATTGTCATTATAACAATTCTCTTGTAACATTTATATAAATTGTCATTATAACAATTCTCTTGTAACATATATATAAATTGTCATTATAACAATTCTCTTGTAACGTATATATAAATTGTCATTATAACAATTCTCTTGTAACGTATATATAAATTGTCATTATAACAATTCTCTTGTAACATATATATAAATTGTCATTATAACAATTCTCTTGTAACATATATATAAATTGTCATTATAACAATTCTCTTGTAACGTATATATAAATTGTCATTATAACAATTCTCTTGTAACGTATATATAAATTGTCATTATAACAATTCTCTTGTAACATATATATAAATTGTCATTATAACAATTCTCTTGTAACGTATATATAAATTGTCATTATAACAATTCTCTTGTAACGTATATATAAATTGTCATTATAACAATTCTCTTGTAACGTATATATAAATTGTCATTATAACAATTCTCTTAACTAACATATATATAAATTGTCATTATAACAATTCTCTTGTAACACATATATATATATATATATATATATATATATATATATATATATATATATATATATATATATATATATATATATATATATATATATATATATATATATATATATATATATATATATATATATATATACATTTTAACCATGTAAGTGTGACAATAAATGTGACATCATTGTGACTACCACAGAAAATATGAAATCACAGTAACTATAATAACAAATATGACATCATTACGATTATGATAAAAACTATGAATCCAGAATAACTGACATCTAGATAACTATGACATCAAAATAGCTGTGGAGAAAAAAATGTGGCATTGGGATTATGACAATAAATGTAACATTATTGTGACTGTAACAAAATTTTGACATCGTTATGACCATTACAATAAATATGAATTAATTTAGACCGGTAGTCAGCAGTCTGCAGCATGTGTGTCTCCCATGGCAACTGGAAAGATTAATTATCAATCATTTTATGAGTGAACTGAGTTGCAGTAAATGGTCTCATTTCAAATGTAAATAGAATTATATAATCATTTTAAAAGATTCAATGTAGTTTTTGTTTATTTAAATACTTTTTAGTGTTTTAATGACTTTTGTTGTTTCAATATTTTATGTACATTTAAAAATGAAAAAAAGTCTTGTGAGCAGGCTGGCATGCTGGCTGACTGTGTAATACAGTGCAGACTGCTTAAGGCAATCTCATCTGTGGGACATATCTAATGTATTCTTCTTTCGTTCGCCTATGGCGTGTGTGCGTGGCATCCTGATTGCTGTGGTGCGCCTCCTGGCTGGTTGCCTCCGACTTCAGCACCTTGTTTTGCTAAGGTAGACTGTGATCATACTCGAGGAGAGTAGGCTCATCCATTCGGCTTTCGCCTTGTGAGGAACAATCTGTTTATCTCTAGGGTTTTCTTGCTTGAATTCTTATCTTCTTCTTCTTCTGCCTTTCTAGCCCCCAATGGAGCATAGGCTCTCAACCAACTTACACCAAATCGTTCTATCCTTTGCTATCGCATGCAGCTCTCCCTATGTCCTCCCTATCTTTATAACTTCATTCTCCAGGTCCCGACTCCATGTATTTTTTGGCCTTCCTTTATTCCTATGCCCCTATGGGTTCCAATGCAAAGATATTCTAGTTATATTGTTCTCCGGTTTTCTCAATGTGTGTCCTTTCCAATGCCAGCATCTTTTCTTCACCTCTTGGCCCACTGGAGCCTGACTAGTTCTCTCCCAAAGCTCTACATTAATGATTCTATCATACCATTTAATTCCCTCTATTCTGCACAGGCACCAGTTAATGAATGTCTGTAGTTTATTAATAATTGCCTTAGTTGTTCGCCATGTTTCCGCCCCATACAAAAGTACTGATTTGATATTACAATAAAAATTCTTTTATTTGGATAAGAGGAATTTCTTATATGAAGAACCACTTCCGGGTCCCTGGTAGGTTCTCCTTATCAGGTCTGCACTGTATTACTTTGGCATGCTACCAATAAAAGGTAGAAAGTCCAACATGTTGTAGTTGTAATGGACTCACAGAGTAGGCTTTGAAAAAAATAGACTGGTGGCCTATGTGTAGAGTGGTTTGTATCTCTTGATAAGCCTCAGATAAGGAGCATAAGGATTTTTCTGTCCAGGAAATTTTGGTGTGAGGAGAATTAAGCAGGCTGATAGACTGGCTGCTGCTGCAAGTCCTCTGGGCTATGAGCTAATTTATGATAAAATGGACATGGTGAAGGTTTTCTGGGATTAAGTAGACAGTGCAAAAAAAACAGACAAAGTATCCTCACCTTGAAAGACTGATACAGTGGGAAGTAAACAGAGGCGTCTGCATGATTTTCAAAGTGTAGAGAAAAAGTCAGGTGGATTTTGAATAAGACTGCACCTGACATCATCAATATAGGAACTCTTCATTAGCTGTTGAGGGAGGTGGAGGAGGAATAGAGCACATTCCTTCATTCTACTGAAAGGTTGCCAACAACTGATTTAGACAATGGCTTTAAGTGTGTCATCATTGTCATTCTGACATTGAACATGAAATACAACAAATACTGACATAGCATTTCTTTATTCTATACTGTTATGACAAAACGTGCTCCATTTGTCAGATTATGTAAGAACTGGAGTACTCACTGTCTGGCCAGTTTGGCTGTTACGTCGGACAAGAAGTTTTCTCAGAAGTGCACATTTTCCAGACTGGATGAATCCAATAAATGGTGACTTGTTGCCTTCAGACACCAAAACTGATGATACGTAAGAAATAAAATATAGAAAATTGTAACACCTTTAGCTGTAACTATTATTTTTGGCAATGCTGCAGGCGTCATGTAACATGCTGTCTACTTATAAGGTTAGTAGTGTGTAAGCAGTGTGTTGTGTGAACAGTAATTTCAATAGTCACTTCAATTCTCTCTCTCCTTACACTAAGCACTTCACTAATATCTGTCCTAACCTTCATCTTTGTGCCAGGTCATGCGGGTGTTTAAGGGAACGAGCATGCAGACTATCTTTCTGACACTGCGATTGCTATGGTTGGACGAGTACTGGACAGAAGTGATGTTATCAATGCCATGTGCTGCACTTACTGTACCGAGGAGCACGCCAAAGGACATGACTCCATATCCCTGTCTAGACAGATGGACATGGGGATGCAGCCTGGAGTTGCAAGAAGTGAACATTTCACCAGGGGGGACAAGACGTTTCATTAACCAACACAGAACAGGCGTCATCAGTCGTTTTACACTTGTGGAGCTTTTGAGGAGGAGATCGGAGCACCTATGGATCTGTCCAGAGTGCCGTGATGATAATCCTTTCTAATCAATAATCACTAATCTCTCTCTCCTCTTCTGTTTCTGTCCCTTATTCCTCAATAAAGCATAGGCCTTCAACCAACTCAGTGCTTAGTCATCATATCCGTTGTTATCGCATGCAACTCTCCCCATACTCTCCCCATAATCTCCCCATCTTTTAACTTACTCTCCAGCTTCTTTCTCCTAATGTTTTTTTTTTTGGGTCTGCCTTTGTTGGTTCCAATGCAAAGACATTTTTATTCTCGTTTGATTATATTTCGAGCTTTATAGTCCCATTGGCGGGTGGGGGACAGACCCATTGGCCCCTAACAAGCATGTCCTAAAAGTCAACAATTTAGGTTTAGATTCTTCAGAAATCAGAGTGTATCTGCCTGCATAGAACCAACAGTTTGCATACAAATAAGCCAGATCTGTAAAACAGATGTGCACGAAACATTTAGGTTTTTGGACATGACCAAAAGTGGACAAATAACCAGAACATTCTGGAGTTTACAGCTGGGGAAGGTGAAGAAGAAGAAAAAGAAAATATGGGTGAAGCCCTACAAACCTGCTGCCGTGACCCGATCCTTTACTTATTTAGATGTAACAGATCAATGAAATTGTGAACATAAATTAAATAGGAACAAGATGCTGAAAGCTGAAAATAGGGATGACTGCAATCCGAAGTGGTGGGGCCATTTACTTCAAACTTTGAAGGTTGAGCTGGTTTGTTCCACGGCTGCGTTGTTTACATCTTGATTACAGTTTTGAGATTCCTGGGCATCGTTTCCAGAGGTATGGGGTTTGTGCATTGTGTGACGCTCTCGGCAGACAGCCAGCTTTTCCACAAAGAGAGACCAATCCACACCGGATAAAACCTGGTGCAATGAAGTCGACCCTCTTGACTTTAACTTTTAACTTAACTTTGATGTCAGAGTGCATCTGCCTATCAGGCAAGGAACCAAGTCTGCCTATAACTAAGCCAGAACTGTAAAACAGATGTGCATGCAAAACTCAAGTTCTTGACCAAGTCTAAAGTCCAGAAGTGGAGAAACAACCAGAACTTTCCGCCAGGTTTGACAGCCAGCGAATGCTAAGAAGAGACTGATGAAAAATAAAGTTGAAACTGACCTGTGTTTGGAGGGAATGAAACCCACTCTATACACGCTGCCACAGACAACAGTGGTTGTCTCGGCCATGTCTTGTATTGGTCACATGACATCAGCAGGTTAAGTTTCTCTGTCTGTTCTTTGTGTTTCATTTGCTGCAACACCAGATCAAATACAGCATGCACCAAATTTCTTTTACCATCACAATTGTTCCGTGCACCAAATTTCTTTTACCATCACAATTGTTCCGTGCACCAAATTACTTTTACCAGCACAATTGTTCCGTGCACCAAATTACTTTTACCATCACAATTGTTTGGTGCACCAAATTACTTTTACCATCACAATTGTTTGGTGCACCAAATTACTTTTACCATCACAATTGTTCCGTGCACCAAATTACTTTTACCATCACAATTGTTCCATGCACCAAATTACTTTTACCAGCACAATTGTTCAGTGCACCAAATTACTTTTACCAGCACAATTGTTCCGTGCACCAAATTACTTTTACCAGCACAATTGTTCCATGCACCAAAACACACTAGGCAGCATAAATGTTTGGTGTACCAACTCACATTTAGCAACACAAAATGCTGTGTGCATCAAATGACATTTATCAGCACAAATGATGGATGCATCAAATCACATTTACCAGCACACATGTATAAGCCAGTTCAAATTTAATAGCACAACTGTTGTGTGCACCAAATCATATTTAGCAGCAACAAATGTTTGGTGCATCAAATCACATTTACCAGCACAAATGTATGTACCAATTCACATTTACCAGAACAAATTATGTACTAATTCACATTTACCAGCACAAATTATGTACATTCACAAATACTAGCACAAATTATGTGCTAATTCACATTTATCAGCCCAAATTATGTACCAATTCACATTTACCAGAACAAATTATGTACCAATTCACATTTACCAGCACAAATTATGTACTAATTCACATTTACCAGTACAAATTATGTACATTCACAAATACTAGCACAAATTATGTGCTAATTCACATTTATCAGCACAAATTATGTACCAATTCACATTTACCAGAACAAATTATGTACCAATTCACATTAACCAGAACAAATTATATACCAATTCACATTTACCAGAACAAATTATGTACTAATTCACATTTACCAGCACAAATTATGTACATTCACAAATACTAGCACAAATTACGTGCTAATTCACATTTATCAGCACAAATTATGTACCAATTCACATTTACCAGCACAAATTATGTACTAATTCACATTTATCAGCACAAATTATGTACCAATTCACATTTACCAGAACAAATTATGTACTAATTCACATTTACCAGAACAAATTATGTACCAATTCACATTTACCAGAACAAATTATGTACCAATTCACATTTACCAGCACAAATTATGTACTAATTCACATTTACAAGCACAAATTATGTACATTCACAAATACTAGCACAAATTATGTGCTAATTCACATTTATCAGCACAAATTATGTACCAATTCACATTTACCAGAACAAATTATGTACCAATTCACATTTACCAGAGCAAATTATGTACCAATTCACATTTACCAGAACAAATTATGTACTAATTCACATTTACCAGCACAAATTATGTACATTCACAAATACTAGCACAAATTACGTGCTAATTCACATTTATCAGCACAAATTATGTACCAATTCACATTTACCAGCACAAATTATGTACCAATTCAAATTTACCAGCACAAATTCATGTAATGTTGCATGCAGCAAATATTTTTCACATATAAAACATACATGCCCTTTATGGGGTTTGAAATATGCAGTGTGAATACTGGTCCTCTTGTACGTCCTTATATAGGTCACTGCCAAGGCTAAATGTGACAACAATTTAGAAAACCTGCTCACAAAAGACTTTTTTTGCAGAATATGTGATTCTCATTTACATACATTTGAATCCTTGTTAGTAAAAATTTGTGCCCTGTGCTAAGATGCTCCTTGTGGAACCTATGAGAGGAGGATGGAAGGTTTAGGAAGCAACACACCATCAGAAGTGTTACTTCCCTTCCTTGTCACAGAGCGGGAAACTTGATCTCAAAGTAATTTTAGTTACAGAGTTGCATTCTCTTGGAGGTTGTAAACAGTTTCAATCATCATCATGCAGCAGGTCCTTTACAAATCATCACTCTCTTCACAGTCTACCTGAAAGAAACCCATTCTCTCGCCAACTCTCCCGCCTCATGAACTATCATATTCAATAAATCACTTATATCCTGTGCACATCTTTGTATCGGTCAGCCCCTGCCCCTCCTTCCTGGTACCATGCCTTCTGATTTAATATTTTCTAGTCCACCATGGTCCTTGATATGACCAAAATATTTCAGCTTCTGAGATAAGATGCTGTTTATTAGCCAATCTTCCTAGATGTTCAGATTTTTAAAAAATGTTAGCATTTCTTCAGTGCTTTTTTTTTCTTTCATTTTTTTAATGTCGCTGAAACAGTTTCACCATCAGACAATTTTCTGTGGAATTTCGGTTTGATAAAACGTCTTCCACAACCTTTTGGACTAGACATTCTGAAGGTATTGTTCAAAGGCATATAGTCTCCTAGACTAGACATCCTAAAGGTACTGTTCATAGGCAGGTTTTTCTAGTGGTATGCAACAGTACGCAGTACCAGCATCTTTTGGATGGTATTATTTTTACAGAACTACTGTGACAAACACTTTGTGATGAGTACCGGCAGCATTTTAGAAACTTTATGGTGAGTACCTCTGTTTCTAGAAAAAAAAAAGAACTCTAATATTAGGCATATACAGTCTCCAGGTTCTTCTTCTTCTTCTTTTTCATTTCCTTTTTTTTTAAACCACTTCGGGTGTTGAGGGAGATATAAGGTTCTGCTTTTCTTTAGACTGACCATGCAAAAGGTATTTTTATGTGTAATGTTTGGCAGTCGGAGCCTGTGGCTTAAGCTTTGTAGACTACTGTTCTCATGTAGTACGTACGCTCTAGCTACTAGCTGATGATGTTTTTTTTTTTCTTCATTTTTAACCAAACCAAAGATGACCAAACCATTTGATACTTTGATATTCCATGAAATCCCTTCCCAACACTGTATCTACCATTGTTCTTCATTCTTCATTGCTGACTACGTCTCTTCTTGTTTTATTCCTACAGCATTTGTTAATACATCTCATCTCACATGTTTGTGTTTCTAGGTCTGTCCATGCCTGTCACTGTAAACACAAAAGTTGTACGTATAGTGCACTTACTGTAATCACATGTTGGTAATTAGCTGCAGAGATTTTCATAAATTCACAATTTGGTTCTGCTGTCAGCACACTCAGGTCTCTGCAGAAATGAACACAGACACAATTATTGTAGACTTCATAAAGACACATGCAGTCATAAGCAAAATTATTTTAAAAAATAAAACAAACACATACGCACTCACGCACATACATATATATATAGATATATACATATGCATGGATGCGTGCACGCGCACACATACACACACATATACACACATACACGAACTCACTTTGTATATGGTTCTTCACACTGAAACCAGGAACCAAAACAGTCACCAGGAAAAAGCTGTTGTTGGAAAACAAATAGATACATCAGTCATGTAACATATTTATTATTACAGTTGGTCAGTTATGAGAACTATATAACAATAACGTTAAAGGCATTTAACGCTAGTTGACATGGCACATGATAATGGCTTGGTCACATTGTGCAGAACAGCTAACTACTTGATGAAAGTTTCACACAAAGCACAAACACTCTAGCTACCATGACTTACTTAGTCGCTCCTCTTCTACCTTGGGATGTAGAGGGTTGCCAGAGAGATCGCCAGACATCTCTATCAGCAGTTTTCTTTCTTGCTGTGTTCCATTCCAGTCCTCTGTCAGTTAGGGACTGTCGGATGTTGTCTTCCCAGCCACCTTGGGTCGCCATGGAGGTCTGGTTCCCTGGTTCTTAGCCTCCCATGCCTGCCATGATGGCCGATTTTCTCCCATTCTGCATACATGTCCAAACCATCGTAACTATGACTGATCCACTCAGGTTTGTAAGGACTGATGTATTGTCTGATTGCATACTTTGTCCCTTCTTGTCACTTGGACCACCTTTCTCAGATATCTCATTTCCGAGGCCTGAAGCTGGCTTCTGTGAGCTGTTGTCATTGCCCATGACTCACACCCATAGGTCAGGACTGGTACATAGGTAGAACGGTAAACAGCCCTTTTCGTCCTCTTGCCAATTTCTCTTTTGCTAAGAAACCCTCGGTTTATGGCCTGGAAGAGTCTCCCAGCAGCTGATCTTCATGTAGCCAGCTTAGTCTTAATGCCTCCATTTCTGTCTTTTACAACTCTAAAGTATTTTAACTGGTTGACCTGCTCCAAAGCATACTGTCCTATCATGATCTGGTGTTTCTTCTACTCTCTTGAGATCACCATGGTTTTTAGTTTTGGACTTCATAGCATTCACCGGCTGTAAACTATTAATGAAAGTTATAGTTGTTGTCCACATCTGGACTTTAATCTTGTTTCAGGATCTAAATTTTGCATGTACATCTGTTTTACAGATCTGGCTGATTTGTATGAAGACTTGGTTTCTGGCCTCTCAGGCAGATGCACTCCAACTTTGAAGGAAATGTCCCTAATTAGTTAACTACATGCTCATTATGGGCCAGTGGGTTTTTTTCCCCCTCACACTGCAGCCCCAAAACTGAAATGGGGAAAATAATATGAAACAATAAAAGAACCCTTTAGCTGAAATAGATATACCCATCTCATAAATTCACAGCAATCAAACATACGTTTCTACCACAGATACGTACTCTGACTTGTGAAGCATCCTCCTCACTGGATTCACCAAAAGAAACACTTGGCTTTGGATAAACACCTTCTCCATCAGCCAAAGTATATGGTTTCAGTACTGGTGTCACTGATCCTTTGAGCACCATGTGTACGCCTGTTTTGCCATAGACTGTAAATATACATGTTTGTACAATTAGTAAATTAGAGCTGAAGAAATAATATTAAGCAATCAATTACATCCTGCCAAGATGCAATAAAGCCAATCAAGTTTTAGGCCAAATAGCACCAATTTTGAAATGCAAGCATATGAATATGAACACTAAAAGATGGAATGTTATATTATTGAGCCTGTTCTACTGCATAGCAGCGAATCTTGGAATGAGAGCAAACGAATTAAGAAGAGTTTGGAGGCAAATGAGAAGTGGTTCTTGAGAAGAATGTTGCGTATACCTTGGACTGCCAGAATAACTGACAATGAATGCTTGGAAATGGCTAAAGAAAGTAGAATATTATATACAAAGTTTTTTCTTGTCATGTGATCAGAAAAGGAGCACTGGAAAATACTGTGATATCTGGAAAGATCACTAGTAGTAGAGGCAAAGGCAGACCGAGAGAAAGATTGTGGATGGCTTAAAACAGTGGAATATTATCCGTAGAATTCATCCAGAGCACCAAAGACCAAGATCTGTGGAGATGCTAAAACGCCTCTGCCAGCTGGCAAGGCACGTGATGATGATGATTTATGTTGGCCAGGACACTGATGGAGAACCAGTTTCTAGGATGACCCCGGAGCGGTGTAGACAGGTACTGAACAGTGTCAGCCCAGGTCCTGGTTCAGTACCTCTACACCACAGACTGGATCTTATAATCAGAATAATTGAAAGGAAAGAAGCAACATAAAGAATCAAAGGCTTGTCAAGCAAAGGAAATGGAATTGTACTGTCGTTTTATTTATTTATTTTTTAATTTTTTTTTCAGAGATGAATTTCATACAGGACTGAAAGAGGTAGACATGTCGGAGACATCTGCACTAGCACTATCATCATCATCAGGTGCCCTGCCGACTGGCGTGGGCGATCATGCCTCTCCACAATCCACGATCTCTTGCAGCATGTATCAGTTCGTGTGCCGACACACCTCCATGCCATGCAACAAGACTGTCAAGCATCTTCTCTCGTTGTCTTCCTCTATCCCTCCTTCCACAGATCTTTCCAGTGGTCACAACATGTTCTATTTTCCCTCTTCTCATAACATGGCCGAAAAATGATGACTGTCTCCTTCTGATGTCAGTGATAAGTTGTCTTCGGGCTCCCGCCTCTTTTAAAACCTCTTGGTTGCTCTTTTTGGCTGTCCAAGGTATTCTAAGCATTCTTCTGTAAAACCACATCTCTGAGGCCTCCAAAAATTGTTTGGCCTGCCTACCGATTGTCCAGGATTCACATCCATATGTTAAAACTGGATGTATGTAGCAAGCAAGAATTCTTTTTCTAACTCTCAATGACAAGGATATATTGCACAAGATGTTTTTCATTTTATAAAATGCAGTTTTTGCCTGTCCAATTCTGTTTCTTATTTCAGTTATGCATCTTCCATCTGATGTTATCCATGTGCCCAGATACTTAAATTTCTGTACTTGTCTTAAAATAACACCATTGACTTTTATTACACATTCAGGAATAATTTGTTTCTTTGATACCACCATTACTTCTGTCTTCCCATTATTTAAACTGAGGCCCATTCTTCCACTTTCTAACACCACAATGTCTATCATTTCCTGTAATCACTAGCACTATACACAATAGAAAACATATAAATACAAACAACAACATACCATAAAAGTTTACGTCCTTCCAAACTTCTAGGCATGCCACAGAAGACAGAAGTTTTAGAACTGCGGGGTCAACGTTGTTCACAAAGAAATCAAAAGTTTGCAGAATTGAGAAAATCTGATCATTGTCACTTGTTGTTCGTTCCAACGGACTGAAAATGTCAGAAAAAGAAACGAAACACACCCCACTGAGATAAACAAATATTGATACACTCTCGCTCAGAGTGGCAAGCACTGTATTTAGCCTTTTTTAAATATTGTCTCCTAAGTATGCAGGTGTGTTAGGAAATAAACGGGCAGACAGATAGGCTGGTTCTGTACAACTGGGTAGTTAAATGATGATGCTTGACAAGCTGTGATCAAGACTGCTAAAGATGAATACAACATTACAGCATTCTACGACTGCAAGCTTTGGTGGGAAATTCTGGTTGTTCATCCACTTCTGGACTTTGGTCTTGTTCCAGAACACCTTCACTTGAGAGACCTGGCTTATTTTTAGGCCAACTGTTGCACTCTGACCTTGAGGGAAATGTCTCTGTTAGCCTTTTATGACATGCTTGTTAGAGAGGGCAGTGGGTCTATCAACCCCCCCAACACACACATGCATGCATGCACACACACACACACACACTCTCAGGCAGATGCACTCTGACCTTGAGGGAAATGTCTCTGTTAGCCTTTTATGACATGCTTGTTAGAGTAGGCAGTGGGTCTATCAACCCCCCCAACACACACATGCATGCATGCACACACACACACACACTCTCAGGCAGATGCACTCTGACCTTGAGGGAAATGTCTCTGTTAGCCTTTTATGACATGCTTGTTAGAGAGGGCAGTGGGTCTATCCCCCCCACAAACACACATGCATGCATGTATGCACACACACACACACACACACATGCACACACACACACCCCCCAAATGGAGCCTGAATGCTACTATATGATACTGGGTGTATATGATGAAGCAGTCTCACCTTTTCCTTAGAATGTGTCTAAGAGTTGAAATTGTGGCCTTTCTCGTGGACTTATGCTCTTCCTTCTTCCTTTGACTGGGCAGGACATTACAGAGTTCTCTGATGGTGCCAGAATGTGCTGTCTTTGAATTCACTTTTCTGGCAAGTTTGTTATCTGGTTTACCTGGACACAGCCAATTGTAGGAGAGATATTTATTGCAGTCACAATGATACTATAAGTAACTGATTACTGATTTATGAATCTACATCATAGCATATCAGGATATAAACAGATTTCCCATCTCCTTCAGCAAATATCTTGAGGTGAAGATTCTAGCCATTCTTTTAGCACACTGATTAAACACAAATCATTCTCTTCCCCTCATACATCCCACTGATTAAACACAAATCCTTCTCTTCCCCTCATACATCCCACTGATTAAACACAAATCATTCTCTTCCCCTCATACATCCCACTGATTAAACACAAATCATTCTCTTCCCCTCATACATCCCACTGATTAAACACAAATCATTCTCTTCCCCTCATACATCCCACTGATTAAACACAAATCCTTCTCTTCCCCTCATACATCCCACTGATTAAACACAAATCATTCTCTTCCCCTCATACATCCCACTGATTAAACACAAATCATTCTCTTCCCCTCATACATCCCACTGATTAAACACAAATCATTCTCTTCCCCTCATACATCCCACTGATTAAACACAAATCATTCTCTTCCCCTCATCCCTCCCTCCCTCCTTGCCGGTCGTATCCATGCCTAATTCCTCCTTCTATATTTGTACACTATTTATTTCATCTAGCCTCATGCCTTTAATCAGCATCCTCTCAAAAATGGTCTTTTTACGGACTCGCCCCAAAAGGGGACGCAATTTTTTTTTGTTATTTTAAAGCCCTACCTGGGTTGTAGTCTTAGGCCCCAATATAGGGAGGCCCCAATATAACCTAGCGGTTGAACGGAGTTTCTGGAACTTGTACCTGGGTGATCCTCATCCGTTTGGTGGAACTTTGTGTCACTAGGTTTATTGCTCGTTGTGCGGTCCTGGTGGCGTTGAACATCACTCAGATGGTCTTTAGAATGTCTCCTTTATCGAGTACAAGTGTTCTCATAGCTAATGCTTTTGTAGCCAAAAAATCTGCTCTTAAATTGTAAGTAACATGAATGTAAAAGGCACCTTTCACATTTTTCACCCATTGGTCGTATGGTACTAGACCCACATTTTTACTGACCATTCAGTACTTTGCTGACGTAGCTAACATCATTCCAGTCATTGTTACTTCCTTGGGAATTTTCTGGTACCCATTTGAGGTGACTTCTCTTTCTTCTGTGTTTCCCTTAAAAGAACAATAGTTATGCTGTGTTGCGGTCTACAGCTAAGCTGTGATGCATGCACATTTCAGCCCAACACATTTGGTTTTAGCAAACATCTAATAAACCACCTTTTACAACATGCTTGTTGGGGTGGCAGTCCATCTGTCTTTTTCTTTTTTATTCCCCAAAAAGGGGACCCCAAAATCCCCTTTGGCAGAATTAATTAAACCTGAGGTTTAGGTCAATTATAAAAATCTGCCTTGATGCAGATTTTTTTTTTTTGTTCACTGGCTGTAAACTCTGGCAGAAAGTTTTGGTTGTCTGTCCCCTCCTAGACTTTTGGTTTTGTGTGCACATTCTTTTCACAGATCTAGCTTATTTGTATGCAGGCTGTTGGCTCCTTGCTTCTCAGGCTGATGCAGTCCCGACTCTGAAGGAAACAACCCCTCATTCATCTCTTCCTACTACAGGCTTGTTAGGGTGGCAGTAGGTATATTCTTTGTTAGGTGGGTATATTCTTTGTTAGGTGGGTATATTCTTTGTTAAGGTGGCAGTAGGTATATTCTTTGTTTTCCAACATGGTGCCCCTGAGCCCACACTTTGACAATTTGGAATAAACTCAGGACCTTTAGGCCAGAAGGCAACCCTTTTAACCTCTTTATTACTGAGTTGCACAAGCGCTTTATGTTTTGTCAGCCAATCGGAAGAAGACCTTTTCATCTTTTTCGGTGTTTGCCCTTAAAAGGTTATTTGGCACGTTGTGGTTCACAGCTATGCTTTCCTTTTCTTTACCCTCACCATCAACTCATTAACTCTTCTTTCACAAAGTCACCATTTATATCCTATATATCTCTCACTCATATATATCCATCTTTATATTCACTTATATATACAACTCCTTATATTATATATATATATATATACATACAAAGTTGATAATACATTCAAAAATGCACGCACCACACATATATATATATATATATATATATATATATATATATATATATATATATATATATTTATATATATATATATATATATATATATATATATATATATACATACATATATGCACATACCACACTCATGCAGGTCACACATGGTGTATCCCAGCTGTCAGTTAAACATTTGTGTTTTCCACATTCTCTTTGATTTAAAAAAATATATACTTGGACCAAAGCAGAGATTTGATACCATACACTCATCAACATGAGCTACAGAAACTTACTTATAAGTGCCAGCTGTTTACCCATGCCTTGTAGTTCTCCTGCGTTCATCCTGAAAGTGTGTACGCTGTTTTCAGAAACGACATTAAGATTTTCAATATGGAGTTTACAATTGTTTTAGATGCCAGAGTGTTCTTCTTCTTCTTTTGTGTGTGTGTTTACCAAGTGTAAACTCTATCAGAAAGTTCTGGTTGTTTGCCCACTTCTGGATTTTAGTTTTGTTCCAGAACCTGAATGTTGCTTCCATATCCATTTTATAGATTTGGCGGGTAAAGTAACGTTTTTTGCCGCAGAAAGAGAGTGACTTGCCTTTTCATTCATGCCTCGTTGCATCGCAAGGCCTCTCCTATGTTGTGGAGGTGTTATGATTCAGCTTGGTTCGACATTTGCTCGGTGTACATAATGTTTGTAGGAGGTTGTGTTGTTGTCTCTCTGAGGTGAAACAGGCGCCAGTGTACAAGTACAAAAGTACTGTGGGGGGGAAGAACCTCAGGCGTGACAATTTGTGAGTATCGAAACTGGGATGTTTTGTATTTTTACGTTCGTTGGTGTTGGCTTTCCCTCAAGACAGAGAAGGCACCAACAAGGAACATAGGAAGAGAAAAAAATTGCAGTTTCCATACTCCTGAATTGGCACAGGAAGCAACATTTGAAAATAATAAATACTCACCCAAGTGAGTGGTGAGAGGAGAAAAGAGAGAGTGGCTAAAGAGTTGACAATAAGGAATACATGACGCCTTGCAACATAGGAGAGGCCCTCAGACACAAGGAGGCATGAAGGAAAGGGAAGTCACTCTCTTTCTGGGGCGAAAAAACGTTACTAGCACTGATTTGACTTATTTGCATGCAAACTGTTGGAACCTTATCGCTCAGGCACGCCGACTTCACAGGCAACATTCTAAGTAACTGACTTTTACAACATGATTATTGGAGCGCAGGAGGGGGAGGGGGTTTACTAACCCCCCTTCCCCCCACACAAAAAATATGGGATCAAAAGGGTAAAAGGTGAAGTTTTTATAGTACAGATTAGTGCATTACCTGTGTGGGTTATAGGAATCCCTTTGGGGGGGGGGGGGGATATGAAAATACCCATTGCCCTTTAACAAGCACATTGTAAAATGTGACAAATTAACAGTTTGCAGAAACTGAATGTGATTGGCTGAAAGGCACAGATATCATAGCCAAGCTGTAAGCCGCAACACAGCATGCCAATTGACCTTTTAATGATGAATTCAGAAGTAGAAACCCCTTTACAAATGCTTCTCTCCTTCACTAAAATGCCTCTGCACCCCTGGTACTAAAAGAGTAAAATTAGCCTCAGTTATTAAACCCAACTAGTATTTAAGATAGGTGGCTGGATATTCACACCAAATTTTCTCCCCAAGACTCGCTTCAAGGCCTCCCTAGAGAGGGACAATGTATGATATTCAGACTAATGACGGAACACAACAGGGGTTGCCAACTTACGTTCAGACTTTTCAATGCAGGAAACAGGGAGATGTGTGTCTGCAACTTGGTACCTGAAGAAGTTGAGCATGTGCTTCAATACTGTAAATTTACACTGATAACAGAGAAGCTATCTGGCCTATTCCAACCTTAATGAAGACAAATCTGTATGATATTCACAGAGATTTGGAGTGCACAATAGCTTTCATAAAGCCTACCAGCCTCTTGATATAAGTTTCCTGATAAATGAACAAAGAAGAAGAAACCCAACATACTCCATGGCAAACATGCCATTTACTTTGCTTACATTTTCAGAATCACTGACTGCAGCTGGCAGAAAATATTTCATTACGAGATAACTCATTGAACTAAAAACACTTACCTCTTAGTGGGGACAGAAAATTTGGTCTTTGATAGTTTATGTGCAAATATTTGTTTGTAAGTCTGCATAAATCTGGCATGCGCTTCTTTATCTGATGCATCATCACTGAAAAAATAAATACATGAACACAGTTGTGAAATCCTCAGTAATTTCATGAATGTAGTTGTCAAATCCTCAATGATTTCATGAACATAGTGGTCAAATCATTAATGATTTCATGAACATAGTAGTCAAATCATCAATGATTTAATTTACATGACAGTCAAATCGTCAATGATTTTATGAACATAATATTCAAATCATCAGTTATGTCATCAAATTAGTAAATTATTACCAAATTGGCCAATTATTTCATGAATATTGGAGTGAAATCAATGATCTGATAAACACAGTTATCAAATCATCAATGATCTGATAAACACAGTTGTCAAATCATCAATGATCTGATAAACACAGTTATCAAATCATCAATGATCTGATAAACACAGTTATCAAATCATCAATGATCTGATAAACACAGTTATCAAATCATCAATGATCTCATAAACACAGTTATCAAATCATCAATGATCTGATAAACACAGTTATCAAATCATCAATGATCTCATAAACACAGTTGTCAAATCATCAATGATCTGATAAACACAGTTATCAAATCATCAATGATCTCATAAACACAGTTATCAAATCATCAATGATCTGATAAACACAGTTATCAAATCATCAATGATCTCATAAACACAGTTATCAAATCATCAATGATCTGATAAACACAGTTATCAAATCATCAATGATCTCATAAACACAGTTATCAAATCATCAATGATCTCATGGAGAACACTGTATTTGTAAGACAATGTACACAAACTTCTGAGAGACATTACCTGACTGATAATCTACTATATTAACATTTATTTACATACAAAATTGTTCACAAGATATTCTTCTTCTTTTCAGTGTTCACCAACTGCAAACTCCGGCGGCAAATTTTTGTTGCTTATCCAGTCAGCCACGCCCTTAGAATGGATAAATCAAGACTTCCTTACCAAGCCCTCATTTGGACACCACAGGGGAAAAGATCTCGTGGAAGACCAAGGGAAACCCTACGTAGAACTATCATCAGGGAAGGCTCGCTCATGGGCCACTCAAACATCCAAGACCTACAATGGATTGCAACGGACCGCCGTGCATGGAGAGTCGCGACCTCTGCCCTATGTGCCGCACTTGACACAAGAGGAAAGACTAACTAACTAACTAATCCAGTCCTAGACTTTATACACGGGAGTGTCCTGAGTTCTGTGATGTTGTTTCTTAATTCAACATTCAACTTTCATTCCTAGACTTTGGTCTTGTTCCAGAACTTGAGTTTTGCAAGCACAGATCTGGTTTATTTGTATGCAAACTGCTGGTTCCTTGCCTCTTGGGCAGATGTAATCTGACTTTGAAGGAAACATCCTTCATTAGTCAAATCCTACAATATGCTTGTTAGACGGCAGTGGGTATATTCTTTGTTCTCCCAAATGGGGGTCTAGAACACAAACTGGGAACATAATCAAAATATAGAGAATATAATATATTCTGCTAAGTTTGTTCATCTGTTTTCTCCTTGTCCCTCTTTGTCCTGTCTGCCTGCCCTATCTAAATATCTGTTGTCTCTATCTCTTACAAGGCTCTATCTCATAGAGACAAGGCTCTGTCTCATAGATACAAGGCTCTGTCTCATAGATACAAGGCTCTATCTCTTAAAAAAAAAGGCTCTATCACATAGATACAAGGCTCTATCTCATAGACACAAGGCTCTATCTCATACACACAAAGCTCTATCTCATAGATACAAGGCTCTGTCTCATAGATACAAGGCTCTATCTCATAGATACAAAGCTCTATCTCATAGATACAAGGCTCTATTTCATAGATACAAGGCTCTATCTCATAGATACAAGGCTCTATCTCATAGATACAAGGCTCTATTTCATAGACACAAGGCTCTATCTCATAGACACAAAGCTCTATCCCATAGATACAAGGCTCTGTCTCATAGATACAAGGCTCTATCTCATAGACACAAAGCTCTATCTCATAGACACAATGCTCTATCACGTAGACACAAGGCTCTATCTCATAGATACAAAGCTCTATCTCATAGATACAAGGCTCTATTTCATAGATACAAGGCTCTATCTCATAGATACAAGGCTCTATCTCATACACACAAAGCTCTATCTCATAGATACAAGGCTCTGTCTCATAGATACAAGGCTCTATCTCATAGATACAAAGCTCTATCTCATACACACAGCTCTCTCTCATAGATACAAGGCTCTATCTCATACACACAAAGCTCTATCTCATAGATACAAGGCCCTGTCTCATAGATACAAAGCTCTATCTCATAGATACAAAGCTCTATCTCATAGATACAAGGCTCTATCTCATAGATACAAGGCTCTATCTCATAGATACAAGGCTCTATCTCATAGATACAAAGCTCTCTTACATAGATACAAGGCTCTGTCTCATAGATACAAGGCTCTATCTCATAGATACAAAGCTCTATCTCATAGATACAAGGCTTCGTCTCTTAGATACAAGGCTCTATCTCATAGATACAAGGCATTATCCCATAGATACAAGGCTCTATCTCATAGATACAAGGCTATATCTCATAGATACAAGGCTATATCTCATAGAGACAAGGCTATATCTCATAGATACAAGGCTCTATCTCATAGATACAAGGCTCTATCTCATAGATACAAGGCTATATCTCATAGATACAAGGCTTTATCTCATAGATACAAGGCTCTATCTCATAGATACAAGGCTCCATCTCATAGATACAAGGCTCTATCTCATAGACACAATGCTCTATCTCGTAGACACAAGGCTCTGTCTCAAAGACATAAAGATGACCAAAAACTGAAAATTCAGTTTACCTCAGTGTCAGACCGGGAATGTTACAAAGAAGCTGCAGATTGTCGTAATCGATTTCTGGAGTCTTCACAATTTTTGGAACTGTAAAATTAACATGATCACAGAACATTTAAAATAGCAAATCCATGGAATAATCATTGAATGTTAAACTAGAACATATCACAAACTTGCCCGCACGGTGAGAGTTTCTTCCCCTCCCCCTCCCCCATGCATGCCGCAGCCAGTCACATAGTCTGTCCTATATTGTCGGGTGTTATGGAAGTGCTTTGTAGGACGTTCACTCACCATATATAATGTTCGTGGGAGGTTATATTATGAGTCTATTTGAGTTGAGTTGAGATGAGTCAAGAATTGACATCACAGCACTCAGGGCATTCCAATGTGTGCACCCTCCTCATCTTCAGCAGCCATCGCAGCTGGGATGTTTTTGTATTTTTACTTTACTTGGCGGTGGCATCCCCCCAGAAAAAGAAGCTACTGACAAGGAACATAGAAATACAAAAACATCTCATTTGCGATACTGACGAACCATCGGGCAAGTAGCACAGCGTGGAAATAAACAGGTAAGTGAATGGTGGCAACATGAGATAAGGAAGTACAGATAAACAGTTTAGAATAAGAACTATATGACACACCCACAACATAGGACCGGCAGTTCGACCAACTGTGGCATGAATAGGAGGGGAAGGAACTCTCACCGTGTGGTAAGTTCGTGAAAAGTACCGTTAAATTATAGTTCAAAACATCCACACAAACATGTATTCTTAACTCCCGTACAAACACTCAAACCACTGATTCACATAAATACTGAATCTAGTCACATAACACAAACAGTTGAATCTACACCTCCACCTAAATACTGAATCTATACAGTCACATTCACACAAATACTTATACTTCTTTATACACATCCACTGAATCCAAACAAACCCATCTCTCTCTCTCTCTCTCTCTCTCTCTCTCTCTCTCTCTCTCTCTCTCTCTCTCTCTCTCCCCCCTCTGTGTGTGTGTATTATTATGTATATATATTTCCCCCCTCTCTCTTTCTTCCCCTCTGTGTGTGTGTATGCATATATATATTTCTCACTCTCTCTCTCACCCTACCCCCCAATCCACAATCTCCTGTCTTTACACTCCACTTGTCAATAATTATGAATAAAGTTTAAACAAATATTTGCATAGCATAGCTATAATGTAATTTTCAACTTGCGTTGGTGTCTAACACAGGACGACTCTCGAATATTCCAGTGAGGAAGTTTTGATGTTTCTGATTTTATGAGCGCCATTCCATGAAACACTAATGACACTAATGTTTAATTTAAAACGCTCTGTTTAAATGAAAACTTCTACTTTCATCCTTTGTTGAGTCTTGTTACCATGGCAGCACATACGGACACCACGTTACCGACAATCTCCGTAAATATTGTAATTCGCCGTAAAACGTAAAACTATTTCTTACTGAGTTATGAGTTAGAATATCTTCACAGCACTCCGAACACACCCATAGGTGCTCAGATTACCCTCTCCAATATATTCATCAGCGTCGTGCGGTTAATAGTGCCAGTCCTATGTTGGTTAACAAGACTTTAAATAATGCAGCACCTGCCTGACTATCAGCTCTTTCATTACCAACAACGCCTGCATTGCCATGTGTCGAATATGAAGGTAAGCACATCCAGGAGAGTTTTGCAATGACTCAAACCACTGTCTGCGTAACCAGCCTTCCTCGACACACCGGATCATGCTCAAAGACTCACTCAGCACACACACACACACATACGTGGGGTTTGTCCTGTGATTCTAGCCACATGAAAGCTTGTGTCGCCGTCATCTACATCGTTATGCTGCTGATAGTCGTGGAGAATTCAAATTCAAATTCTCTTTCGTTGACCACTTTCAGCTAGGTCCGCTCGCATTTCTGCTCACTTTCCTTTCAGCTATATTTGTGGTGACGTTTTCTGGTCTCGATCTCATTTGGTTTTGGATTGTGTTCAATATGTTCAATACTGTCGCTTTCTATTTGTTGTGGTTTCCGCTCTTGCTGTTGCTTTTGTAATTTAGCTGGCCCTGTGCTGCGCTCAAGATGATTGGATGTTGAATCGATTTATTGTGGTATTCCTTGGCTGTTTGTTGTTTCCGGGGAAAGTAAATTGCCTATCCTAATAAGGACCGGCGGTCGATTGACTTGGGCAGGTACTGATGGCAATACGGGTGAGGTCTGGTATTATTTGGTGATTTTCTCGTATCCTTGTACTACTCCTACATAGGGTTTCGGTAATTTTGGCCTTGGCTGTGTCGTATCTGGTATTAGTGTTTGAAGTAACGGTGTCGACCTCGTTTGATTTCAGGTTTTGGCTGTCGATATGGTTCCTCTGGTGATGACCAAAGAACATCATCATCTTGCAGTTTTGAGTTAAAGAAGTTCGGGTCCTCCAGCTCCCTGATGCGTTGGTTTTTTTGGTTAGTAGTTTCTACCGGAAACTGTTTCATCAGCGGCGTTGGGGTTTTCTTATCTGGTGTTTGATGTGGCTTTTTCTGGGTCTCGGCTCCTTGTATTTGCTGCCTTCTTGCTGCCTCTTTCCGTGCTTTCTCTCTTTCTTCCATCACTCTGTTGGTTGCTTGCAGTTCCTTATTAAGTCTGTTGTTTTCTTCGTATGCTCTTCGTAACTTTTCCTCTGTTTCAGCTAGTGCCTTCTTGATCATTGCGACTTCTTTCGCGAGAAGTTGTTGGTTATTCCGCAGATCATTGATGCCCGCCTCGTCTTCCCTTGCTTTAGTTGGTTGTTCCTTTTGTGTCTGGATAGTGGCCAGTGCATTCATGATGTCCTCCTTGAATTTCGTCATCTCTGCTGTCATCCGTTTCTGGGTGTCAAGAGTCGCCTGCATTATAGCTCTCAGGCCTGTTATTTCATCTCTGTCTTTATCTCGTTGGGATTTGGATGCTTCTTTCTCGTCTCTGAGAGCTTGGATGTCACTTTTGAGTTGAGCCACCTCGTTGCTCAATTTGGTGGTAATGGCTGCAGTTATGCCTTGGGTTGCTTCGTGTCTTCTGCGGGCCTCATGGTATGGAATTTTTTTCCCGTATGGCCGTGGTTGCTATTTCTCTGCATTGTTGCAGATAAGGGCACCCCAGGTACCTGGTGCTGTGCTGGCCGTAGCAGTTTGCGCACTTCCTGTTCAGATTGGGAGACCTAAAGTCTGTGTCCAGCTTTGCCAGCGGGCAATTGTTGAAGGCATGGGGTTGTGAACAGTATCGGCATACTTCATGTTCGCTCACACAAGTGGCCCGGGAGTGCCATGCTTTTTTGGCAACGAGAGCACTGGATCACCTGTGGCACGTATTGCTCTGGTCTTTGCATTCTTTGATTTAGGTAGACTTTATCCGGGATGTGTTCTCCTTCCGATGTTATCACCGCCACTGGCAATGGATGCCGTTTTGAGCCCAGTCTCTCTGCTTGGTTGATGTTGACATTGGGGTTTTCTTTCCTTATTTGTTGCAGAATTTCTTCGTTGCTCCATTGCAGGTTGACTCTTCGGATTACCCAGCGTCTTACATTCTGGAAGATTGTAGCCGTCACAGTTATCTCCTCGGATAGTCGGAGTTCTTTCTTGCCGTCGTGTTGGATGTCATCCAGCATGTCTGAGGTGCGGTTGGTTCTGTTTAGTGAAGCTATCACTCCTTCTCGAGTTCTCCTAATCTTTGCGATTGCCCTCTTGCCTAATATGATCTCCAGCATATTGATCAATGTTAGCGTCGCCAGTGTAGTGATTGCTGTCCGGCCCGAGCTGGTCTGTCGTAGAAATATTGTGGCAGGAAATTCATAGCTGCCTGTCTTTCGTCGATCTGGAGATGTTTGTGGACTTGGCTGTGTTGGTTCAGGTGACGCTGGAACGTCACTCAGGGCCTCACTGGTAGTCGGGGCGTTTTCCTGTGGTTCGGTAGTAACTGTCTGCGTCTTCCTGGCCTCCGAGTTAGATCGGGTGGATCGATCAGTGGGTTGTTTCCTCTGTCCGTTGCGCTTTCCGTTAGGTTTGTTTCTCCGAGACATGGTGCTTGCGGAGAAGGCCTCTCGCTCTGGCTAATGCTTTGTATTGTGTTATGTAGGTTTCAGTCTTATCTGATGACAATTGCGGAGAAGTCCTCTCGCTCTGCCTATCCTCAAAGGAACCAGCATGTACTGTATTGCGCAAGTATCAATATCTGGTGACAATTGCGGAGAAGTCCTCTCGCTCTGCCTATCCTCCAAGGGACCAGCATATACTGTATTGTGCAGGTATCAATACTATCTGATGATTGGCTGATATGGTGGAGCCGCGGCGCCGATGATGTCGTGGAGAAGGCACCGCTGGCTTCTTGAACTGTTCTGCCTGAAGAGCGAGCTGTAAATGCCCATGCACTCTTATGTCCTCGTATAACGGACCCGTCTGTGAAGATCACCACATCTGTCTCATCTGACTTGTCGCTGATAAGCGCGCATACCTCGGCATTGACAGCAGCTGGATTCTGCTCCCGACAACTCCTATCGATCGTCACGACACAGGAGAATGTGAGATTGGGCGCTTTAGACACTGGTATCCATTCCTCACTTAGATGGATGGCGGTAAGGCTGCAAACCTGCATGATGTCATCCTCTGCCCTACCGAGCCATGATTTGCCCCTTTTAAACCTATTGCCCTTTTTCTTGAAGAGCATGTGGTGTAAATGGTGCTTCAGCTCTGAGCTTATCTTGAGGTATGCACGAGCCCTCCAGATCTTGACCCTGTTGTTCATGGTAGGGAAGTCAAGAAGGTACCTTACTGCTACACAAGAGGTGTCTTCAATGCACCTCAGAATAAATCGCATTGCTTCATTTGGCACTTTCTCAAGTCTTTCAATTTGAGTATGGCTGACAGTGATGATGACAAGAGCATATTCGATGGGAGAAAGTACAAGTCCCTGGAACAGAAGTGTAAGCGGCGGCCAGGACCCTCATTGCTGACAGGCCTTTGCGTGCTTATACGGGACTCAATGTGTAGCATGACTGATGTCGAACGCAGAAGAAGAAGAAGAAGAAGAAGAAGAAGAAGAAGAAGAAGCGTGCTTTTGTTATGGCATGGTTAACGTGTTATTTAAAGGATAGGCTGCGATAAAACCTTACTCCGAGGTATGTAATCAGATTTGTTCTCGTCAAAATTTTCACTGCTGGTAAGTCTGCCTTCCCTATATGCGTGTTCAAGGAGAACCACGTTACTGAGGCCTTCGAGAGGCTGACATGTACATTAGAATCTACGCACCAGAAGTAGATGCGATCAAGTTCACTCTGCATTGAACTGGCAATCTGTTAGCGATCACTTCCATTTCGATATACCAAGAGGTAATCTGCAAATGACAAGGCCCTGCCACTCCCGTGCAACTACTGCTCAGTTATCAGTACTGTGTACACTTTGAATAGCAATGGAAACAGCCGAGAACCTTGAGGCAATCCTGGACTGATGGTTATCGGTTCTGAGGACCAACGAAATATACCTGAGTTTTCCTTTCTCGCTGTTTCATTCCTTCTTCTTCTTCGGCTCTTTATCCCCCAAAGGAGCATAGGCCCACAACCAACTCAGGCCAAGCGTTTTATCTTTCGATATCGCATGTAACTGACTATATGTCTTCCCTGTCTCAAGTTCGCGTCTCCGTGTGTTTGTTGGTCTATCTTTATTTCTATGTCCGTGTGGGGTCCAGTTTAAAGCATTTCTAGTTATATTGTTCTAAGGTTTTCCCAATGTGTGTCCTATCCACCGCCTTCTCCAGAGAGATAGAGACGGCCGTGGTCCTATCCAACGCCAGCGTCTATTACCCCCCCCCCCCCCCCCCCGATTCACTGGAATTTGTTTAAGTCTTTTTCAAAACTTAATAAGTGTTTATATCATAAATGAAAATCCCGCTTTTCTGTGCAAACACCAGTTAATTGAGGTTTGTAGTTTATTAGTAGCTGACCCGTCTTGGGGTCAGGTCCTTTTCTGTCATTGAGTGTGCGATGGCGACCCTGACTCTCAGCCATAAGCAGATGGAGAGGAGGGAAAGGATACAGAACGAGACTATGCGAGTCATACTTGGATGTACAAGAGATACAACATGCAGTGTGATGCGCTACCCTCTCGATTGTCCAACCATGGAGGACAGAATTGAAATTTGCCAAGCAGGTACCTACCTCAGAGTCAACACAGACACAAAACACCAGCTTTATGGTGGAATTAAGAAGAAAAAGGCAGCAGGTTAAAAAGAGGAACATCTTGGATTAGCAAGAGCGAGGATATT